TTTTTTTTTTTTTTTTTTTGGACTAGGCTAATTAACCAAAAAATTGTCTGTCAAGGCTAATAGCAAATTTAATTGTCTCCAAAGTTGGGGGTTGTTGAAGTGTTACATAAAAATCACAGCGATCACCTATACATTTCTTTTCATTTTTATTTTTTTTTTGGTACAGGGACCTTTCGGTTTCCGGATTTACAGGGGAACCGACTAATCCGGAATCGAGCCGGGTAGGACCACAAGGGCGACAAAGCTCTCCCTCAAGAGTTTTAACACTGCTGCATTCCCAAGGCTCGAACTCGAGACCACTAGTTAAGTTGGAAGAGACCCAAACCATTTTATCCAAGTGCTCTTTTCATTTTTAAATTTACGAAGTTTTATATATTTAATTACACATACGTTAACTTTCACAGTTTATAAATAACTAAGGTATGATTTTTATTTTTTTTTTTCATTCATTTCTATTTTACAATGTTTTTTGGTTTTTAGCTTATGACTCATTTAGGAAAGATTTATTTGTGATTTTATTTTGAAAGTCTGTATAACTCCAAAAAGAATCTTATACAATTATTCTCTACGTTGTACACGTACGTGTCACTTATTCAACGAGCCCCAATGAGGCAATTAGTACGGCAAAACTAGGGAATTTCACTTGCCGATGAAGTCTTTTATCGTTAAATCAACACACACTCGTATGGGTACGTGTATGTATTGAACGAATAGTAAAGAACTTGTATAGTTTTTAACTGTTGGATGAACACACACCCTTATAAGTATAGTGTATTGATGAAAGATAAAAAACTTGGAGATCGAGGCAGGAATTTGGATAATTTAATTACAAGTTACAACAATTAAAAAAATTGGCCCTAAAATTTGGATGAGCCAGCACAATTACTTTTGATAAACCCTATATTTACAAAATTAATTTTATATTCTTTTCCTCATACATTATATAAAAAATATTATGGATCACTTTTATAATTTTCCCTAATTTACGGTGCTCCCTCGAATTATTTACTTTTAGCAAGTTGTGCAATACATAATTTTTTCTTTATGAGATGCACGAGTCTGTAAAATATTTTGAAAAAAAAAATCATTAATAAAACGAGAAATTAGGCACATCGACCCAACAATCACAACAATATAACACGCTCGATCGATCGCTGTTTAGTTGATAAATAAAATTATAAATTCTGCTTTTGTAGTTAGTCCAAAATAACTACATTTATATGAGTTTTACGAGGCAGCAAGCTACTATTAGTGCTATTTTATCCTTAATCATAAATATTTATGAAATTAAGTAGAAAGAAGTACTCCTAATTGCAGCAGCTAGACTTGAATTTATAGTCAAATGAAATCAGTACAAGACAAGTCTAACAACTAATAATCGTGATACAATTTTTCCAGGGATCACTACAAAAAAAATGTTAAATTCCAACGGATGGAATTCATCATATTATCCGTTGGAATAGCTATTCCAACGAAAATTTTGACGTATAGAAATTCGTTGGAAAAACGACTATTGGAATAGCTAAAATCCGACAAAAATTCCTACGGAATTTAATTTCAATGGCCGTTCCAACGAAAAATATATATTGGAATTCTTCAACATTTGAAATGTTGTCCAACAGTTATTCCATCACTTATTCCTATGATTAATAAGCTGTTAGAATTGGTTCCAACGGCCCATCCAATGGAATAAATCTATTGGAATATTTCAATGGTTCTTCCTACGTTTGTTAAAGAAATGTTGTAGTATTCCAACAAAAAATTTCCGTTGAAATTTTGTAGGAATTTATGCTTAATCTCATTGCTCTAAAATATAAATGCTGAATAAAAACAATATAAAAGGTGAAAAAAAAAAGATAGAGCTATACACAAAAGCAAGCAAATCCCAATAGATAAATTACCAGCTCAACCATAAAAAGCAATATCTTTAGGTGAGCAAAACAATATAACGGATAAATCCTAAATGCCAAAAGCTATGTCTACCTGAAAATCATCATTTTCCATAACATGTCTAAAATTTGTGACAAATGTTAGGACATAAAATGAAAAGCTCCTAAATGTCGTAATCATCTCCGAATTCCTCCCCAACCTTACCATCATTATCATGATTTGTGGGAGGCACTGTCGAAGAAGACATTGTGATTTGTGTTGTGAAGTTTCTCGAATAGGCTGCAAAGTGAGGACAATTCACTCTAATTGCGTTTTGATGCTCCAAATGCACTCATACGATCGTTAAGCTTCTGGACGTTAATCACACAAGAACCCGAACATTGTGAGCTACAAAAGAGCACCTTATCCATAAGCTCTCTTTCTTGTTACAACCTCCATTTGCTTCATAAAAGAAAGTTGAGTCATCAATGTTTGTAATGCCTTGTGAAACTTTCGAGCCTTTAACTTTTCATAAGCAACCTGCATATCACATACAATATTGTATATGTCGCACACTTTTCAGGATAACAAGTTTGAACCATTACCAAAGCCATATTTAAAGCAAGAACAAAACTAAAAATATTATAAATATTGCAGTCAGGCTTGCTTACATAAGTTTTCTGTGCTTTTGGAGTTATCCATATTCCCATTTTCTCTCATCACAATTGAACTTGAGACAAACTTCACGAATACTTACACTTCGTCCCAATTCATCTCCCTTGAAAAAAAAAATATATAGAAACAATGATTTTAAGAATTAGGGAGTGAAAGAAAAGAAAATTGGAGACTAAAAACAAAGTAAATGATAAACTTACATAACGTCGTCTTCGCTCAGATGTACAAATGGCACCCCCTCGATTCAAATAACTATCTTTATTAGCAACTATATTTTTCTTGTTCTGTTCGGACATGTGCAGGAAACTCGAATCCGATGCCCAGGTCTCCTTAAGCGTATTTAACACATTTTCAAGTAATCATGCCCCAGCCGACTTGCTTCTGCAAATGTCACCCAAGCTTTGACGCACACTGGTTGCACATTTGTTTTTCAGTATCTTTTTCATGGCTCGATCGTGCTTAGGATCCCATATAAAAAGTCTCTGCACATGGGCTTTAATTTATGAACATAGTGCAGGATGCTCAAGCAGGCTTATTGAATTAAAGGAATTTTTTTTTAATAAAAAAAAAGCTTGATAAATCTAAATTTACCTTAAACTCTCCCAACCACAAAATTCTCACAGGTTTTCGGATTTGATTCCATCTGATCCGAGGTTTCTCTTTTAGATTTGATGGTGGCTGAAATTGCTTTAGAAGTGTCATATGAAGTAAATCTATATACAAAACAGTTATACAAGTTAAAGAGTTGTTTTATGAACATTGTAATAAAGACAAAAATAAATTAAAAGATGTGTATAGTTCAGAAATTACTCTTTTCCATTTGGTCATATTATTACTCTGTTGTCATTCCATGGGGAAGATGTCTCAGCAGAGGGAAGTGAAAGTGATGGTGCTGGCAACAAATGAAAAAAGTATAAAGGGTTTAAATCATCAACTGCAATACATAACACATGCTTGTAATAGACATGTTATCAAGAACACAAAATAGACATTAATTATTAAATAAATACATTGATTTCAGTTCACCCTTGACCAAAGTAACAAACACTAGAACGTTCAGTTAGCAGCATGATTTAATAAATAAATTGCAAATTACTGAATCATGCTTAATTTCAATCTCAAGTTTCTTCAACTCTCCACCATCTAAAATGTTTATTGATCTAAAATTTGCCCTTTCCGAAAGAATTGAACTGTCATCGAATGAAAATATGCTAAAGGCTACATGCTAAAAAAAGATAATGAATATTTCCGTTTTTCTTTGTTTAATTTTCCATTGGACGAAACACTTGGAGGAGCTGTAACACATATATAGGACATGAGTTCAGGTCCGTAACAGGACCAAATGTCTCGATTTTCAAAATGAGGCTCAAGCAGACCGATCTGTTTCAGCAATCGGAAAATTGGATCGATATATTATTATTATTATTTACATTTACATAATTCCCAGCATTTTAAAAACAACAACTAACAGGAGAAAAAACAAACAATAAAACAAGAAACATGACAGCAACATATCTCCATAGCAGCAACCAGCAGGAATAAACAACAAATAAGTTCAAAAGGATAAAACAACATTAAAGCTCAAACTTTGCAACAACACTAAAGCAAATGTAATACTTCAAGTACTTGAAATTCATACTACTAAAAAATGATATAGAGTATATGCATACATTCACACGAATTTCAAAAATGACTTCAAGAACTTCACCAGATATCACTCATATTCCAACAACCTGAGAAATTGAAATTACCTGGTTAATTGACGGAGTACAATAGAGACTGCTGCAAATAGTCAAAGAACGAGGAAGGTGATGCTAATGGCCGGAGAACGAATGGTCAGAGAATAACTGAAAACGGCAAGGATTAAAAACACGTTATCTTTAAAAAAAAAAAAAATCTATTGGGGGCAGCTCTCGTTTCAACCCACGAGGACATCCCGAGAAAGGACGATGAGATCCTCCAACTCAAGTGCCTACCCACGACTGTCATCAAGGAAAGAGACGAATTTCACACAAAATTGACACTTTATCAGTTTATGCTTAAATCACTTTGTTCAACTTAACCAATATTTTCTCATCGGACATACTTTTCATGTTTCATGAGAGCTACTAAACTGTTGCTAGTGATATCTATAACTGTGATAAATGCACATATAATACACGCACTTGAAAAATTAAATTCGAGAGTTAATCAAATTCCATTCCTACTTCCAAAAGCTTGAGAAATCGAAGTTACCTAAATGATGAAGAAAAACAACGAGATTGGCGGCGAACAGATGCTTCTAATTGGCGATGAATTCCTGCTCATGGCGAATTGTTGCTCCTACTTGACGGCGAATTGTTGTTCCTACTTGACGGCGAATTGCAGCTTCGAATTGATGGAGAACGGCGAGGGATTTCCAATTGGTGGCGAAATTCTGGTCCTAATTGACGGTGATCGAATGCTTCAAATTGATGGATAACAGCGAGGGACTTTCAATCGATCGATGAGGAATTTTTAATGGGCATCGGATTTATGATTGGGAAAGCTTTTTCCCTTTTTCCATTTCGGAGAAGGGTTCGAGATATGTTCAAGTTACGAGTGTTCTTCCAAAGCCTGACCGTGTGACGAAAACTCGTTGAAATATTTTCCACAAAGGTTTTCCCAACTAATTTTTCCAACAGTTTTTATATTTGTTGGAAAATTCCAACTTTAAATTAAGTTGATGGAATATTTATTGGAATTTCCAAGGAAAATTTTTACCGTTGGAATTAAACCTTTTTTTTTTTGTAGTGGATATTATTAAATCACGATTAGCTAGCCTGGTCACCATCTAAGTTTGAGTATTGATACTAAACTAACTAGAGCGTGTATGCCCGTGCAACATTAGAACAAGTTTGTTCTACCTATTGAATACCAGGACTTGTGACAGAATGAACTGATTCACCGAAAGGTAAGTGACAACACGGTAGGATAATTTTTGGGCAAAGTTGTTCATAGTAAATTGATTCAATGTATATGGCTAAATGCTAATCAACTGAATTCAAACGCGACTTAGACTTGGCCATCGACTCAATTACACTGATCCTGCATCTATACTCTATAGCCATCCAAATAGGCCCTATCCAAGTCAAAGCGCGTACGGAACTATAGACAGAAGCAGGTTTCGTTGGGCGCTACTGAAAGCCGGCTGTCTAATAAGCTAAGTGTTAGCCTCCAAAGCCTTTGGTACCAAAAAAAAAAAAAAAAATCAATTAAATCGAACCTATTCATTTTATGCATTTTATTCTCCATTTGGCCAACTCCAAAAAAGGATGCTGAATAAGGGAAACTTATACAGTTATACCTACAACCACTCGGGTCTAAATGAATACCTCATTTTACGCACGCTACATTCCCAGAAAGAAATAAAAAGAGAGAAAAAACAGGTAAGTGCTTATTAATCCGTTTTTCACTGAAGAAGAAAAATTCTCTAGTTTGTTTATAAATTATAACTGAAGAAGAACTAAAAAATAATGGCCTACACGAGCAGATCAAACTGAAGTACTGAACTATATTATGTTCCTAATTCCTATAACTCCACTTCACTAGAAAAGATACAATTTTCAACACATAACTAAATTAAAATGTCAGACAATTACTGAATTAATTTACTTCCAAGAATTCTATAACCTTAAATCATGATTCGAACAACAAAGCTAGCCTAATTCAGATCCCCCAAACAAGAAAAAATGAAAGCTTTTGTCCGTCAATGAGAAGCCCACGTCCCCTGCAAAGATCAAGCAACTCAGATTCCTAAATAAACTCGAAAATAACCAAAAAAAAAAAAGAAATTGTGCAACAATCAGTATCCAATTCAAAAAACCATACTTCTTCGCAAATCACATATGATTAAGAAATAACCCAAAATAAATACCGTCAAACACCACAATTCTGACTAGAAATCAAGGGGAAAAAAGAAAAACATGTAGGCCACTATTCTTTAGGCCAGGCCACAAACAACTGCTTCAGAAACAGAAAGAAGATGAAGAAATTAGCATATCAACAAGAATAACAAACCATTACTATTCCTCTTGCCTATGTACTTCATTTACTTTTGAATGTGGCTAATGTGCAGCAAAGAACTTCCTCATTTGCTGAATTAGGGAACACATCTTAGGACTGGATCTCAGTGTTAAATTCAATACCAGATATTGATTACCATTAATGGATCCTAAAACAAAGATGATTCAGTGTTACGCGTCCATCCAAGATTTGGAGTCTGCTCAAATCCCATCTGCACCATGCATGAAATAAGAAAGAAAAAGACAAATGTGTTCTTATGGACATCCGAGCAGGTGCTTGAGCAACCCTCTTTCGAACATAGAACAAAAAGTGACCGAATATGTTTCTGACACCCTAGCCTAACTCAATACAAGTTCGAAATAATCTTTTATACTGGACCGGTATACTTGTGCTAAGGAAGAGAGTAGCAAAGTACCAATCTAAAGACCGTCTAAGAAACCCCCAAGTTCTCTTCCAAACGCGCCCGAGACGAGAAGGAGAAGAAGGAGAAGATCGTGGAGGCCCCAGGCGGGTGCATTACCAGAGTGTGGAGCCACGAGAACACAACCTTCAGCTTCTCCTTGATGGAATCGTGAAAGGCCGTCAGGTCGGCGCTCGGGTCCCGGCCCATGTCGTCCCTGAAAGCGATCATTCCTTTAAGCAGGGTCACCTCGTCATCGTGGCTCCACACTCTGGTCCTTCTTCTCCTTCTTCTCTTTCTTCTCGCCCCCTCTCGGGCGCGTTTGGAAGATAATATGGGGTTTTCTGGGACGGGCTGCAGTTGCCCAGATCCGTATCGGAACCCGGCCCATTATCCCGGGCGGCGCCTTGGATTTCTTCACTACTTTCATCGCCGGAAGAGGCTGAGTCCGATTGCCGTTCTTACCTCGTTTTCTTGGAGGGTTCTCTTGAGGCCATTTTTCTTTGTGTTTTTACGGCGGCGTAAGTAGCGAGTGAAGTGAGGAGTTAGGTTTAAAACAAGGGATTGATCTGACACGGACGGGAGCGAGCCCCAGGCCCTTTTCTAAAAAAACAAAAAAGGGCTTTGGGCCTAATCATTTTTTTTTGGGAAATTTTTATCCATGCCATGAGATAAATAAATATTTTCAATTTTACCCTTATCTGAAAGTATTTACAACTATACCTAAATAAACTAATTTATTTATTATATTGCATCAATATCAGTTACAAGGTAACGTAACCACTCCAGCTGAAGGACCCGTGATTTCCGCCATGTCTACCAGGAGAAAAAAGAAAAAAAAAAACTAATCTTGAGTTTATGTTAGTATATATTGAGTTTATGTTAGTATATATTCCACTCAAGCAGTCGCCAAGTAGTATATTTTGAGTTTATGTTAGTATATATTCAGTGTATGTTGCAATATTATAATTCACGCAGCCGTCAGGTGGTATATTTTGAGTTTATGTTAGTACATATTCAGTATATGTGCAATAAAACAAGTCTTCCAGATAAAAGTTACTTCGAATATACTCGAATATACCCAACATATAACCCCAAGAAAAAAAAGGAATTATTAAACAGATAACCAGAGAAAAATTACTTCGGATATACTCGGATATACCCAACATATACCAACTCGGTTTTGTAAATATACCTTCGAATTATATACATTTTCAACTCAGTACCAGCCTATTGACAGTATCAAGATAAGGACAGTCCCTTCTCACTTTAATCGCACGACCTCGCCTGCCTTTCCCTGCGTCATCTTCTTCTTCGTCTCCGTCCTTGATTGCCTCCAGCACCTGCTTCAGATCCTCCCTCCGTACCACGATCTTCACCCGCCCACCCTCTACCGCCTTCATCTCGCCGCCGGTGAGCCGCCCGATCGCCTCCAGTATGCTATTGCTCGCCGTCAGTTTCTGGTCTCTTCCCGTCGATCTCGAGAATCCGAAACCTCTCCTCGGCCGCGTCGCTTTCTGACCTTCGTGGCTTCGTCTTCGGCAGTGAGAG